CAGGCCAGCTAGAAGCTCTGGGTAGCTGGCTCTGTGGTAGGTGGCTACAAGAGCACTTGGGGTGATGCCACCTGGCTCCCAGTGTGGGTGACAACAGTGACCTTGGTCATCCTGGCGGCCATCACCCACGTTGCAGACACAAAGACAGAGCTCAGAGAACGGAGACGCTCCCCCAGCCATGGCAAGGAACAGAGGGCTGCCCATGCACTGGACAGCACGTGCGTCTGCCTCAGAACAGTGCCACTGCTGTAACTGTGACTCAGGATTCCACTGACCACTCACGGGCTCGGGTGACAATCACCTAAAGTCACCTTCACACCTCAATGTCACTGACCACTCACGGGCTGGGGCCACCAAACACCTGAAGCCACTTTCAAACCTCACGTGTGCCCGAGGCTCAGGACACAAGCACCACCATAAGCCAGCCCTCCCTGCAGAGGGATGGAGTCGCATCCTTCCCACAGTTTTCACTGCTTTGGCATCTATCTTTGCAGCCGTCCTGCCCTACGCCTACGGCTGCACGGGGTGCTGAGGGCATGGGATGCTGAGCACACGGGGTGCTGAGCGCACGGGATGCTGAACACCAGAGTGCGGTGACAGCCTGGCCAAGACAGAAATGAAAAGGGAGAACCAGAGTGCAAATTCCAGTGTTTGCCAGTATCACCTGGGGGGTATTGCGTCAGGACAGGTGAGCAAAGCCACACAACATCTTCTTGGGTGGTCTCACAGGCTGACACTGCTGCCCAGCCGGGAGATGGGCCTCCGAGGGTGTGTCTTCAGGAACCCAGGCCCTGGCTAGGCTACGTTTCATGTTTGACAATGCGTGCTTGCTTTATGCCAAAACGTAGTACCCAGGTTCAAGTGTAGTACAGAGCCAAGAGGGAAGGCAGTGGAGGTCTGGGGTGACGTGGGGTTAGAACTAACCCAGGCAGAGGTAGGCAGCTCAAAGCTAAACACTTGCAGACCATCCACCACCTGAGGTTCCAGCCTCCAACAGTAATGGAAAACCAACGAGAGACCAGGAGAAGGGACGTCTTGACTTATCATGAGCAGGTTTGAGGGAACCTGTGGTCCGACAGACAACATGCTGCCTCCTAGCAGATGCTAGGAAAGGGTATGTAGAAGGTCTCACCAGCTACACAAACCTGACAACCAGAAAGTGTCAGGGTCAAAGGGCAGAGACAGAAGTGACTTCCCATCTGGAACTACAGCCTCGGGAAGACCCTCAGTGGACAGTGAGTGGAGACGTCACTGGACCTGGGCAAGGATCCGGACCCCCCGCCTACCAACCTCATTACCTGCCTTTCCTATTCTTGATGCAATATATTCCTGCACCCACAGACGTTACTATACCAAGACCACGGGAAATGGTGTGGTGGCACACACCTGTAACCCCAGCCGGTAGTCCCGACACTCAGGAGTGGAGGATCTGAGGCTCAAGATCATCCTCGACTACGTGGGAGGTTTGAGACCTCCTCGAGCTACATGCGAATGTCAAAACAAAAGACAATAAACTCCACACAACATCTTGACCGCCACAGCCCCCCACTTCACAGCTGTCTCATGACAGTCCTCACACTTGCGGGCTCCACTGCCCAGGCTGCACCTGGGATGTTACCCGGATGCTCCAGGCTCTCAGAGTGACAGGCACTCCTGAGCCATCAGTCTGCAGGGGAGAGCTATCCTGGCCCTGCTGCCAAGGATGCGCCAGCCCCCTCCCCAGAGCGAGGCACCAGCTAAGGGGACCGCAGCCTTTTCCTTTCCTGACCATGCAGCCATTGGACACCAGGGGGCACTGTGATACCCAAGCGGCTACAGAGGGACCATCTCTTCCAGCAGCCACCTTGATGATGGAGATAGGGTTCCCACAGCCTCTTTCATCCTGGTCAACAGACTCAAAGATTCTGTCCCCATAACCTTCCACCAAGAAACTAAAAGTTGGCCACCTCATGTGACAGGACCCCAATGGTCCACTTTTTAAAGGGCGTTTGACACAATCTATCTGCAGGAAGAATGAAGGACATCTGGCCAGTGGCCTAATGACGGTCTCAGCTGCCCCTTGCCCTCCTCCCACAGCTGCCCACGGCACGGTGACCCCAGACTCGGCTCTTACCCGTCTCTGGCTCTGCCTCGGCTTTCTCTGCAGTCTGTGCAGGTTGGGAATCTTTCTTCTGGGGGGCTGCACCAAAGACACCAACTGGAGCCCATTCCAGGTAGAGAGGGACATGATGAAACTGCAGAGACAGGGGTGCCCAGGTTGTAGGTCCCCATCACAGAGCTGACTGTGAGACTCAGTGCCACCTGACAGAAGCGCCTGAGGGTCAGAGGTGACAGAGCCACCAGAAGCCAGGCACAGAGCCCTTCCTGCATGGCCGGGCCCAGGGACCCTCATACAGCCAGATGCCAGGGTACAGACTGCAGAGATTGATGTGACACTGAGGTCTATGAAGCATAAAGGTCTCAGACAGACAGAAATCCCTTGTCCTGGGCTGAATGGTGGCTTCCCAAGACACGGCCACGTCTTGACCTTGAGCCCCGAAGCCTGCGACTGTGACCTTTTTGGTAATATGAGGCAGATCCTGGAGTGAGACTGTCCTGTGCTATCTAGGTGTGCTCTAAGTTTCACAAAGTAGTCCCTGCCGGTGTGTGTGTGTGTGTGTGTGTGTGTGTGTGTG